CACATATCCTGATGCATGCTCAATAATCCAGGTAGAAAAATCCAAAAAAGTTTAATCTGGTCCTCTGGACATTCAAAAAAACAAAACAAAGCAAAAAAAAGTAGAAACGTTTCATCTCTCGTCCGAGAGACTTCCTCAGTCTGAGGTGCTGTATCCAGCTCAGTCTCTTAAATAGCACCGTCTCAGGGTGGATCAACCAGTTCATCATTAAACAGGGGCGGAGCCTCCGTGTTCAACTGTCCTCCTCTTACACTGCTGTTATTGCTAGTATCATGGTATGGTATAAAGTTTATTCATTTAAAAAAGTACAAAACAATTCCATAACAATATAAAAAAGATACAAAAGATTTAAAATGAAAGGCAGCAGAAAGAAGAAAAAATCTTATGATATCTGCCCCTTTTTTCAAACAATTATTTCAATCATAATAATTTTCAAGTAACAGAACAAAACGAATAACTCTTTCTAATTTTTCTAATTCTAATACAAAACACACACTAAGCTACTTCATATATACTTTTTTAACAATCCAGCTTTGATCTTTTTCTTAAATGTTCACATTGACTTGACATTTTTAACATCACTCTCTAGACCATTCCACAATCCAACTCCTTGGATTGAGGTAGACCTTCCCTTCAGACTAGTTCTGAATTGTGGTTTGACAAATATTTCTATCCCCTTAAGATTATAACAACTTTGTCTTTTAACAACATTTCTTTGGATATTTAATGTTAATGTGTTATTTTGAGCCCTATACATAACTGATAAAATACTATAATCTACCAAATCATGGAACTTCAATAACTTCAGTTGATAAAATAATGTGCTTGATGGGTGACTGTAATGCTTTCTGGTGATAATTCTTACAGCTCTTTTCTGTAAAATAAAAATAGGTTTTGTAAATGTTTTACACACTTTCCCCCAAACATCAATGCAATAGATTAAATGTGGAACAATGATTGTGTTATACAACATGTACAGAGCTTTATCATTTAATAATTCCCTGACTTTGTATAGTACTGCAATAGATTTAGATATTTTTGTTCTTACAGAATTGATGTGATTTTTCCATGTTAGCTGTTCATCAATGATTACACCCAAAAA